TTCCCATGCATTACACGCCAGAAGAGATGAGGCAATGTTCACACATTGGAAATGATGATCATCAGAGATTTCGTGAGGCACCCAAACACCTTCTTTATGGAATTTTTCCATATTCTTTAGATGTTTACGCATTGTTTCATGAGAGACATGCAATTTCAGGGCCATTTCATGAGTGTGTTGCCTTGGGTTAGACTCAACAAGCATCTTCAGAGCATCAATATCAATTCCAACATGTTGGCCCCTGCCGTCACAGTTTTTAAGGCTAAAGTCACCTGAACGAAATTTGCTAAACCATCGTTGACACTTACGAACGTTCAAAACATTTCCATAAACTTCTTTGATATTATTTTTGGCTATAGAGGCATTGTTTCCCCTTCTTGTATTCAAACAGCATTACATACCAAATGTGTGTGTCATCATGTGCTATCACTATAAGGGATTAGAGTAGACTAAACTTTACACATTATATAGGCTACACTAACGTGACGTTTAGGTGGTTCGTTTAACTATTATACATGATGTACGTTTTTTGGGAGGTGGTTAATGAAAAATATCTATAGTATGAGCATAAATATATTTATATGCTCACACTTAGCTATCTGAATGTCTTTCAGGAAACAGTGGTAGAGGAAAACATGTTACGTATCAATAATAAAATAATAGAACTCAAGGCCTGGCATAGCCTGGTGGTTAGGGCATTTGACTCGCAATCTGTGGGTCACAGGTTTGAATCCCCATCCCCAAACATGCTCACCCTTTTTGGGTTACTGTTGGGACCAGCCACTTGAGTGTAAAAGATCTTGCCTAATACACAAGAGGCTGACCCCAAAACTAGATGGAATTAAAGCTGAATGAAGAAGAAGTAAAATAACAGAACTCATTTTTGTTATAATATTCAGTGCATTTCCAGACTATATTTTCATTACCACCACATTAGAAGTGCCTAATAAAAATACACAATGCTTTAAGTAAAAACTAATGCATGAAACTTTCATTGACAATTTAAGTGGCCTTTTATTTCTTTGTTGTACAAAGATGTTTTTACTATTAATATCTATCTATTCTCTAGTCTGAATTTTTGAAGTTCAAGAACATCATACATCAAATTAAAATATAAAAAGCATCAAGAAAAATGACTGATTACTGTCATGTCAAATCAAGAAGTGAAGATTGAGTTCTACTGCACAGAGGCAGTCAGATGCACTAGGAGGGTGTAGCGCATGCTTATTTGCATGCTAAAACACAGCTATACCATGTGGAGATTAGAGGAAGTATAAAGGCTAGTGGTAGGCAAAAGTTTTGCACATACAGAGGGCAGTACAAATTGAGAAAAGCTGTTTTGTGAGAAGAGGCAAGTTATCATACTGGATAAAAACAGAGAAGACTTATCTGAAACATAAGGTGTGAAGAACAAAGAGGTAAACTTTTTTCAATAACTAAACATATCAATTATGATATATAAATGTGTCTAATAATTTTTATAAATGCATTTCAACTTACACAGTGAAGTTTCATTCCTGATATTTTCAAACAAAATATTGAGGGTCTGAAGTAGCTGTATACATACATAGCGCCCACATTTTTGTTTCATGATTTGTAGGAAAAAAGACAACATGTTCTTTTCCAGAAAAAAACTGAAACACATCAAACACTTATATCACACATGAATTCAAAAATTACACAAATATTAACTATAACAAGCACAACAGTAAGCAAATATATAAAATCATCCTTTTAATTATAATACAAAAATCTTCATTAATAAAAAAATAATAATGTCATTACCCTAATTATAAAATGTTTCTTATTTCATTATAACTTATTGACAAAAAATGTTTTTGCTATCTTTTCAAATACTTACATGCATTGTTAATGTTGCTAGTAGTTAAAGTTCTTACAAAAATAAAATATTCAAAATTATAAAATTAAAGAAAATGTTTTCTGATACTTTTATTGTTTAATATTTAACAATAAAGGAAGAATAACTTAAAATTATCTTACAAATAATAAATATAAAAATATTTAATAACAGCAGTTATTGTAGATATATACATATATATATATGTAAGATCTTAAAATATAATCGAAATGCATGCAAAGAGAAAACATAAAGAAAAGAAAAGAAATGTTAGAAAATCTATAAAGTCATAAGTGGTGTATAACTGCATACTAGCATTCAGAAGTCATTGAACATAGTTTCTTGAATTATACACCAATGTGAGTAAGGATCTTCTATACAACAGCAGTGGAAGAAATTTTAAATTATTAGACGGTGAAGTTGAGGTGCTTGAGTCCATAATGTCCTGAACCAAACTACACATTCATTGTCTGCAGCCAATTATCGGATGACAGTTGATCAGTATTAAAATAAAATAAAACCAACAAGTAAACCTAAAAATTTCAGAATATAAAAACAGATAAATAATATACAAGATACAAAAAGTAAATAACACAAAATAAAATAGAATAAAAAGGATTATGTTTCCCAGCCATATATAATCAATGTGGCCTGAAAAGAAAGGCATTAAATAAAAGGGCACCATGTGACTAAGCACAGTAAGAAAAAATCATTAAAATATATTTCATAATTTTAAAATTTAAACTGATGTGTTCATACATATCCATTGGATATTATGTAAATAAAGATTGGTTTTTATGTGTGTATATCATGAGAATAAAACAGACTTTGGGAATTTATGCATTTAGAATCAAATCATATTCTCTAGTAACACAGTAACTAGAGTATGACAATCAAGAAGCTGACAGTGTCAATAAACTGTCACCAAATTTTTCCTATCTCTGTTTAGTTGTTTCTGCAACCATGAAAGCTAGAGGGGTCAGCATATCTTGTCCTCAAATTTTATTGATATTAGTTTATTGTTAGTGAAAAACGACATTTTAGGAAAACAAGTTAAGCATGGGCTAGGTCCCTAGGACCGACCTCGTAACCACTTTGTGTTTGTTATTGTCTTCATGCCACAACTTTTAAATTAATAAGCATATGTTCATGAAATTTGGCAGATTATCAGTAAACAGTAAACATATGCATATTAAGGTTCGTTAAGCAATGTCTTTCTCTTGCCTTTTTTCTTTTTCATGTTGCCTATCCAACATGCAGAGTAATTTTCAATTTAAGATTAAAAATACTGTTACAACAGAAGAAGTCACGTGATTCTGGTAACACGTGATGAATTTCTCGATTGATCGTGAATTATCGGGGAAGACTGAGTTTGTTCGGGACGTCCTCTTTTTTAGTATATAAGCCTGGCAGAGAAAGTCTGCGGGATAGAATTAAGAGAGTTCCAGGTAATGTACGATTCTGTTTCGAGCTAGTATGTGTTTTCGAGATTGTGAATCGCTGTGATTTATAGCATGTATTATAAAAGTAGTTAAGTTTAAAGTGACGAGAAATGTATCGACCGTGGAATTACTGTGTATTAAATGTTTGTATCAAGAAATAATAAACTAGTTTAATCAAAAAAGGACTCGTATCGCTGAAGTTCCTCTGAAAGAATTTCTACTGGAAATTAACAAACAAGCAGATAAGTAACAATTTTCTGATGCATGAAAGTATTTTCAAATTTCACATGCAAAATCTTTATAATATATAGATGGTTATCAAATGTTTCTCAAGAAAAAACTTTATATTTTATATCTTATTTTCATTAATGAATCTCTGTATGGGTTCAGTTGATTTGACTGATCTCGTAACCACCATAAAAAATTAGGAAATAAATATAAATCATGCCTTTTTCACTCTAGAATGACTACATATTATAACAAGAAAACACAAATGTTTAGACTAAATAGTTTAAATCTCATAACATTATACACTTATATATATTTATTATTTTTATTATACTGATCTTTCAGCTGTGCCTGACTAACAATATAGAAGTTACAATGACACAGCACATGTGCACTCTTGTTACCATATTCAATAATATTAAATTGACCTTTAGTCTTTATAAAATGACCTGTCTTGTCTGTGTTTTAGTGGACTAGTATTTTGTAAAATACTGTCACATTGCAATTATTATACATTATTACTATTTACAAATAAGTTCTTAAACTTATTTTTTGTAAATATAGAACAGTAAATAAAGAAGTAAAGCAAACAATTATCTCTTCCAGTTACGACCATCAAACTTGTTTGCTGCTTGTCGTAGGTTGCTAAGCCTTATAAAATTTTGCACATGGAGGATGTGAAACGAAATAATTTTTTCTAGGCTTTTGTATATACAGTTGAAATAACCAAGCATCATAAATTATTATATCTATACCATAGAATTCCACTATAATTTATCAAGCTTAGTATCTAAGGTGTATTTGGGTTTAAAAAAAAATATGAAATTTCGAGCAGTCAAAAAGACTCACCACCTTGAAGTTTTGTATTGAAAGAAATAGATGATGTTGTAATACTAAGGGACATTCTGAGCTTTTGATTGGTTACTCACATGTCATAGAGAGAAGTAAGTGTATATGAGGAAGCATTTCAAAAATGGAAAGAAGTTAGCAGGGCCACTATGTTTGATTCGGTACATGAGTGATATCTCAGCAAATAGAAAAGATAGAAGGTTCTTATTTTATATTCTAGCTTGTCAATATTGTTAATTTGAGTTCATAATTCATACAAAACTATAGACTTTGTATTCTAACATCACAAAACATTTACTTCGAACCAGTGCTGCATTCAATATTACCACTTGACACACAAAAATTGATGTTTAGGTGTGTTTTTTTAATATTTACTTTTAGATTAAAAATTTAACAAAGTATAATACTAAAATTTGAACTACAATCTACAGTTTGATACCAATCTTATTGACATAAATTCATAAAATAGTAGTTCAATAAGATTTTGAATGCGAGTCAACAAACATGATGACATGGCCTTTGACTCGTGACCCGTATGGAAAGGGTTAAATGTGGGCCAGCTAAATGTTAATAAAAAAGAATATCTTCATGAGAAGTGTAATCTTACTCAGATTACAAAAAAGTCTATCTCTGATATGAAAAATATCTCACACCTAAGTCAAATTTCCAAGTTCTGTTTAGAAAATGATTTTCACTCTCTAAGTTTGCAAAATTACATTATGTAAGAGGAAAAAGAACAGCCTGAACTATAACCTAATTTTTCTTTACTAAAACTTTCAATACCAATTTCTTAATCTAATAAAGTACAGATCATTCAGTTTATCTAATTTTAAAAAAATTGTCATTTGAATACAAACCAGCTTGTCAGTGTGTAGTCTAAAAACAATTAAAATATTACCTCATAAAAAGAGATCACTTAATAAATTTACTACTCACTCAAAAACAGTGCTGTCATTTTGGTCACCCCATATCAAGATTTCAGCAATAGACCTTAGTGTTTCGACAAGCAGAGCTTTATTTTGTTCAGTTACAACCTGGTTTTTTGAGAACAGATGATACAAGTACCTGTAAAGAATAAAGTTCAAGCTCAAGCAAAAAACATAAAAAGACAATAATACTAATAAGTTACTTTTTAATTTGATAGATACTGAGATTAATGTACTGATGTCAGTGTTCTAAAATCTTTTAAAATAGGCATGGTAATGAAGTGTGTAACCCTTAATAAAAATGCCTTTGTTATTAGATAATAAAAAAGTCATTTAATTATATTGTTATAAAATTGTAATATTTCAAGATGAAAATTTGAATACAGTTTTTCATTTTCAAATACAGTTGTACGTACTGGGAAATTGCAGTAAAAATTAGAACCACGTATTATTTCCAAGAATGGAAAAACCTGAAAAATTTAATAAAAGATGTTACGTATTCAGAAAATTGAAACATGAAGCAACTTGGGAATTGTTTAATATACAAATCAATATGATAACTAGGACATCAAAGAGGTGTAAAAACGAGATTCAGAGCACAAGTTAAATACTATTTTTAGTAATAAGTTTGCAGATATAAAGATAAACAAGATAAGATCAAGAACAAACTTTATTACCATTATTCTTATATTAGGAGTCGTATACATGTATTAGGAACAAAGTAAAGGAATTGAGGATTATAGTTGAAATGGAAGATATATGGGAATTAGTAAAATTGGGTTAAATTTGAAAACACTGGTAATAATTATTTTAAAAGTCCAGTTTATAATTTATTTAACAATGATGGACTTTTTAAAGAGAGGAGTTGGGATGGTTCTTTATATAAGGAATGCACTGCAGCCTCTTGCTACTGAAGACAAAAAATTGTAGTCATGAAGTTGAATCTATATGGGTTATAATCAGGGGTTTCAAGGGAAAAAGGTTTTAATTGGCAATTGTTATAAGCCACCTAAAGACAAAAGGGGTAAATGAGAAATTGTATAATGAGACCAAGGTCAATACTAATAAGATACTGATGCAATAATTATGGAGACTTTTAAAACACCTTGATTTGGGTTTTACGCAGTTATATAATGAAGAAGAGAGAGATTTCTTGAAGTGATAATTTATGGTTTTATGTACCAAACTGTAAAAGAACCAACCACAACAGTTTCCATCCAAGATGACTAATGAGGATATGATTTCAACAGGTAAAGAAACATCTTGGTAAGAGTGATTACTGCATAAATAAGTTGAGATAAAAGGAAATGAAATGTTAGTTACTAATTTTCAAGACAATTTTGAGGCCAAGAGAATAGATTTATTAATAGTGAAGTGGGACAATGAGTTGAAAAGCAATATGTGGGACAGATTTATGACATGTTTAAAACTTGCTTTTCATTCAAAATAGATATGTTCCTTAAAAAAAAAAGAAAGAGGAAAATGATAATATCAAAAATCAAACCTAATTGGCTTATTAATAATGTACAAAATAGGAATATAAACCATATGTTTAGAAAGTATAAACTGACAGATAGTTTAGAAAATTTACAGAACTATAGGAGAGCTAGGGATGTGATAATAATTTAGTGAAATATGATATCATAAATGAAAGCTATCATGGATTTGCCAAAAAAATATTTTGTTTTAATAATCTGTTATCTTTTTTTGTAGATCTTATTTGTTTTCTGGATGACGGAAAGGGTGTGAACTTGGTGTGTTTAGATTTTTAAAAGCTTTTGAGTAGCTGCCACACAAAAGATTACCTAAGAAAACCACATCAGTAGGGACTGTGGATTAACTATTTACTTGGATGGTAGGGTGACTGTATAGGAGAGAATAAAAGGTTGTTGTTATTAAAGTCTAGGCAAACTGGAGCCTTGTCACCGATGGATTATCTCAGGGTTCATTGCTTGGGCCATCACTCTTTCTTATACAATAATGATGTTGATAGGGAAGTAAATAATAAATTAGTAAACTCTCTTGTTTTGATAAGGTTGAGGTATTTCAGAATGATTTGGATCAATTGGAAAATTGGACACATATTTGACAAATGACCTTTAATTACAGTAATCACAAGGTAATAACATAACATAATGTTTCAGGACAACATGGGACCTATTGGTCCATCTCGGCTGTTCCATCCTCTAGAATGATTAAAATAATTTTAAAAAAATCCTAAAGGCAGCCCTTATCATTCATATACTTATCAAGCTTTTTTTTAAACTCACTTATATTTACTGCTTCTAAAACATCCAAAGGCAACTCATTCCAAAGGCCAACCACTCTGTTAGAAAAATGAAACTGTCTTGTCTGAAGATGACTCCTAAATTGCCAAAATTTATATTTGTGTCCTAATATTTTCACTGTTAAATATTAAAAAAGATGATGCATCAACACTATCAATTCCCTTCAATCAGATACCCCTTAACTGCTCTTCTTTTTTCAAAACAATTTGAGAGATTTCAGCCTCTCCTGGTATGAACCCCTCCATCCCAGGCACCATTTTAGTAACCCTTCTCTTAACCTTTTCCAACAATTCAATACCTTTCTTAAGGTAAGAAGCCCAAGACTGAACACAATATCCCAAATGTGGCCTAACCAGTGACCTGTACAATGAAATTATAACCTCTTTAGAATTGTATTCAATATTTCTGTAGAAACAACCTATTTGCCCAACCTAGCAACAGCACACCGCCTGGATGGCTTTAAAGACTGATCAACTATTACACCAAGATCCCTTCCCCTCATAACACTGTTAAGGTTATTCCCATCCAAATTATGACAACTTACATGCATTATCTTGCATTTATTATAATTAAAACCATCTGCCATTTATTTGCCCGACTCACTATATTATATAAATCCTTTTGTAAATCAGCAGCATCCTCTTCACAGCTAGCAACACCCAAGACCTTAATATCATCTGCAAATTTAAGTAATTTATTGACTATTCCTTCATCTATGTCATTGATGTAGATCAAAAAGAGCAAAGGTCCTACAACTGAACCCTAACATACCTCACTTGTGACATTAATCCAGTTTGACCGAACTCCATTTGTAACAACCCTCTGCTTTCTTCCATTCAGTGACTCTTCTATCCAATTTGCTAACTTATTCTCCACACTTATAGAGATAATTTTTACAAGCCTTCTATGTAGCACCTTGTCAAATGCTTTCTGCACTTTTGAGTTATATGTTTAATACAGGTGAGAATGTGACTGAAGAAAATAATTTTAGCATAGTGGTGGATACGTTATTCAAATAATTGAAGCAGTGCTCTGTTGCTAGTAGTAAAGCTAATAGGATTTTAGGATGTATTTATAGTCATATTAATTACAGGTGTAAAAAAGGATTTATCTCTCTATATAACTCAGTAGTATGGCCTCACTTGGAATATGTATACAGTTCTAGTCTCATTATCTAAAAAAAAGTTATATAAGGTTAAGAGGGGAAATAAGGATTTCTTGAAAGAAAAGGGTGGATTTAAATATTTACCTTTCCCAATGACAGACATGCAAAGCTCTAAAAGATTAAATTTTCACTTGATGTTTGTAAGTTATGTTACATGTAGTAAATTACAAAATCTTTTGAATGATATTAAACTGTTAGATGTTACTTATTTTATTAAGAATGTTAAGTTTTACAGAATGATTTGAAACAATTGGTAAGTTGGACAGTCAGTTGGCAAATGGTCATTGATTATAACAAATGCACAGTAATGCAGGTGAGTTATCAAAATTTGAGTCCCATTTTTAATATAGGTAGTAAACCACCAAAGAGCATAACTGAAGAAAAGGATCTTGACACAGTGTAGTAGACAAGTCACTCTATTGCTAGTAGTAAATTGAAAGTCTTAGAAAATATTTAGACATTGATTACAAGTCCAAAGAAGTACTTAAATCTTTGTACAAATCACTAGTTAGGCCTCACTTGAAATAATATATGAAGTTTTGATCTTCATACCTAAGAAAGGATATTGATTCAGAGGAGGGCTATTAGAATAATCCTATGGATAGAGAGGTTATCATATAAAGTTAAAGATCAATTAACTAATTTTCTCTTCATAAAAGAAAGGTAACAAGCAATCTCAATAAGTTTACAAAATTATACAGGGGATCAACAGGATAATGGCCCTTGATTTCTTTGTGCTGTATACTGAAGACAACAGGACACAGGTTGTCAGTGTTGCTTTAGTGCACGACAGAATAAACAGTTCTGTACTGACTAGACATGTAGGGTCTATAATACTGCACTGCAGTGATTTGTTGTTGTTTCTTAGCACAAAGCTACAAAATGGGCTATCTGCACTCTGTATATATGTATGATATATATATATACATGTGTGTGTGTGTGTGGTAGAGAATACTCAGAGGAGCAAATGGTCCCTTGTTGTATGTAATGTTAGGTAGTTCTGGTGGCTTTTTATAAGAATATATAACATGCCTTCTCATGGTATAAACAGATTATGTATATAATAATAATAATATCATCCCCTTCCCGGCATTGTGTCAAAGAGCCTTGGCATAATATCTCTGTTGTTCTGTACAATCTATCGCATGTACTGATCTTTTTCCCCTATACAGCTTAATAGATATATTTGCCTTAGTCACACATATAATGCATTCCAGGAGAATCTTCAACTTTTCTAATGGTTATGTTTTGTAGATCACATGACAAAATCTTATGACTGCCACATCTCTCTGCAAAATAGTGCTTTCACAGAAGTTTTGGTATAAATCCTGGGGTTTCTCTGATATTCACTGGTTTGCTTCTGCAGCTTTATATAACTACTTAGCTATGGTAAACTTAAAAAAAAAAGATCAACTGTACAACAAAATTTTCTTCCCACAAAAGCCAAAGTATTGAATGTCAAAGAAAGCAAAACATTTATCCCAAATAAGTTTTAAATACCGAATGCCTGAAAGTTTGCACTACATGTACATATGTCAAGATTAATAAATTACTCAACACAGAGAAGCAGACCTAAAAATATCACAATCAATTTTTGAATGTTAGTGAAATAAGAATAAATATGATATTACATAGTAAAAGATTCTACAATGAAATCATAAACAACCTGTTTTAGTGGCTTTGAAATTACAATACAAAAACTACAATACTGTAACGAAATTTTAAAAAGTTCTGAGCAAGAAATAAACAATATTGCTGCAATTAAGGGGTAAAGTATGATTACCTCTGTTTCAGTTATTAAGTTTCATACCACATTCCATTCAAACATCTCACACGTATTTAATTTATAATAATTGTACATAAACTTTTACAACACTATTAGAGGTCCTGCCACACATATTTCAGATTTAACAATAATGTTAAGAAATAAATTTAAACCTTTTTCTCTTACTGCAGATAAATAAAGTTCAGAATTGTATTGTTAGGATTGTCACTTACTTATCTCAGTACAAAAGTACGAGTCTGGTTATTAGGTTACCTTTTCCTTCTTACAAAAATCATACCAAGAATCTCTAACATTCACATCATACAAGTGACAATGGAGGTATATATATGTGTGTGTGTGTGTGTGTGTGTGCCCAAAACGCATTTAACATAGTATTAGTACTTTCAGTGTTTCGGTACATTAAACGTACAATAATTCTTTTATACATCATACCTTTAAATAAAAAGTTGTCTTTCTATACTTAGGTATTACAATCAGTTTAGATTATGTTTTCTGCTTCAGTTATTAGCAGTTTATCACTGTATATTCCATTTCATTAGCTCAAATGTAATTAATCCATCACATGTCTATAATACTAATACCACACAGATTATTTATTGACACCCTAAAAAAGTATGCAATAAACTATCCTACAGAAACAATCAAATAGTGAAGTTCATGTGGTTCATCAGATCAGAATAGTATGGACTAAATTAATAATTATTATATTTGTAAAATGTCTGAGCAATAGTGATAATTAATGTTTTTAGTCAATGTGACATCATTTGCCTACTCCTTACTCAGTTAGTGATTCTAGTAATAGATTACTATTGGTATTACTATTTGACAAACGCACTGTAAACCCAAAATTGTTATTACTTTTTACAATAATCATATAGACACCTAAGATATATACACAATTTTACACTTACAAGTTACAGTAATAATTAAATCTGTTTTAACGTTTAATAAGCCTAATACTGTATAGTACTAGTACTAGAGAATATTAACTGCAGACTGAAGTATACTCAATGATTAATCATTAAGTTAGTATTACCAACATCTTTGAAATCACCACACCAATATTATCAATATTTGTAACTGTAAAGTGTACGAGAGTATCAGTAACACGAAATAACTTTATTAAGGCTCAACAGCATAACTCCCTTTTTTAAGTTTTAATTTTATTAAAAATTTTAACTCACTTCAACTGTTCTAGAGAATGTGGATTTTTGGGTTTCCACAAACTTCCTGAAAACCATCCTTTTCCCCGAAACATTGTTTTTACATTTTGCTCATGCTAAGTTAAATGTTTCAAAGTTTATTAACAAAATTACTGAATATTACAAAGTACAAACGTTTAAAAACCAAACTCGTCTGTTCGTCGCCATTACTGTACTCCTCTAAATTGTGACGATGGCAAAATCTTTAACATTTATTGGTTGTCACTACGTATTGCTTTAGCGCATGCCAGAATAAACAGTGCCTATATTCCAGCACTGCAGAGATTTGTTGTTGTTGTTTCTTAGCGCAAAACTACAAAATCGGCTACCTGTGCTCTGTTCACCACAAGGAATTGAGGCTGAATTTTAGCGTTATAAATCTTTAAACTTACTAATGACCTACCAGGGGAACATTGCAACAATTAAGTCTGGTCTTTGTCGGTGTTTGGTTGTTGTGCGTGACTTGAGAGGACCAGGTTCAATACAGACCTCTTCCTCTTCAATAATTAGATCTTCTTCTTTATCGAGATCTGGGAGGGTTCGCTCATCTCATCTTATCGGGATTTAGGTCTTTGGAGAGCTAGGATATCCTTTGTAATGGCAATTTAAACATTTAGGATAAAGGAAACAACTCAAAATTCCATGTGTATAGTATTCCTTCTGTAAACAGTGTAATCTCTAAAACCTTGATTATAGGTGTTATTATTTGAAAGCTGAAAAAATGTGTGCTAGTTTGTAACAAATTTGAATACATCTGGGAGGGTATGTTTAAATGTTTGTTACTTCTGAATTTCGCGCAAACCTAAACAAGGGCTATCTGCACTAGCCGTCTCTAATTTAGCAGTAATAGACTAGGGGTAGGCAGCTAGTCAACACCACCCACTGCCAACGCTTGGGATACTCTTTTACCAACAAATAATGGGATTGACCGTCACATTATAACGCCTCCGCCACTGAAAGGGCGAGCATGTTAGGTGACAGGGATTCGAACCAGCGACCCTCACATTGCGAGATAAGCGAAATAACAACCACTCCATGCCAGGCACTAGTAATATAGGACTGCTAAAATATGGATGCAAAAGGTTATTTTTAATTTTACTATGACTCTTGATTGATAAGTATCCTCTAGCTAGCTGAAATATAAGGTTGTATTATCAGTTTTAGTTACACTGCTGGATAAAGTATGCTTATCAATTTAAAAAGCAGCAAGTTTCAAATCACAATTTCAGCCATCAGATGTTGCCGCTATGCCAATGCCTAGATGAAGCTGAAAATTACAATAAATAACTGGTAGGCAAAGCTGGTCTTAGCCACTGCGGCACCTTAGGCAAAACACAAAGTACAGGGGTTCTCATGGTATCTGGCAATAAAAAACTGAAAATAAATAATGATTTTAATTATATAATTTTCATACATACAAGCCTACCTTTCGATGCATGGAGGCTGACTGTCGAAAAAAAAAAATCTGAGACTTGTTCTGTATACAAATATTTGTTGAAAACAAGAAATCTGTCATCTTACTTATTCTCCCTAAATTTAAGGGCAACACACAAACACACACAGAAAACTATATAGTGCACAGTCATGCATCCGATTTATAAAAAAAAAATCAAACAACTGTAGCAGGGGCCGAAATTCGAATAATTTCTAATCGGTTCTTCACAAAATTTCTATCTAGTTATTATCAGATTTAACTATCACACTGCAAGAAAATGTATATATATTGTTACGCCTCAGTTCGTTAATTAATTTTCCGTAAAAATTCTTTCCGAAGAAACTTTACCGATACAAGTCCTTTCTTAAACAAAACTGGTTTACTCTTTCTGAATACAACTTTGCGATACACTTAATTTCCATAGTCGCGCTATAACAAATACTATAATTCACAACCATCGTCTCACGTGCTCGACTCTACTGTCAATTACACATTACATTAATGCCGTCACGTCTTGACCCTCTTATATATACAAGACTACCGCATATCTAGTAGGCTCTCGAGCATTCATGAAGGGACGTGAACGTTCGAGAAGTGCATGACGTGTTACTAGGGTCACGTGACCTCTGCTGTCGTAACACTGCCTCTTCCTTAGTATTGCTCGTCCCGAACAATAGCCACTTACATTAAACCAATAAACAATTAACAATAACTTAATTAAATGTACAGAATTTACAAACACAAAATTAAAATTCAACAAATTCTCTTAATTTTACGGGACGTATCTTCTTCCGTACTGGTCTCTGTCTCGTTGGCTTCTGCTTCAAGTGGGGTTCATTTGCTTCATCAGGAAATGTTCTATCATCGGTAACAGTCACATCAGTGGTAGTAACTTCATCAAGGGCTTCACTGTTTCCCTTCTCAAAATTGAGTAGAGTTTCTTTTTTGACAGTGGCTTCTTCAGGTGACACGTCTTCAGCAGCGTCATTTGTTCTCTCATCCACTTCGTCCCAACTGAAATGTCC